ATTCATTCACTAGCTCAGACTAAATCTATTTTCAAAATCTACCATGACTAACTGTAGAAGTCATAACAAATTTACCTCCTAGAATGCACACTATGCCAGAAACAATATGTAGGAAAATCTGAATGGCCTTTTCACTACAGAATTAATAATTATCACAATCGAATTAAGTCAGCCCCCATGAAAGATTACCTGTATAACAACATTCCCGCCTAGAAAAACACTATTTTAAAACCCATGCCAAATTCACTATAATTGAGAAAATAGAAAAGTTCAGAGCAGATAATATTAGAAAGATTTTAGAAGGTCATGAAAATAAGTGGTTTCGGCACCTAAAAACACTCCATCCAGACAGGCTTAATCTCAAATTAAACGATATAGATAGAATATAACCCCACAAATCTAGACCTACCCACATTTCTCACCCACACAAGACAGACATACTTGCGGAGGTGTTGAAGCCTCAAACTTATACACACACCCATACTAATATAGACACATCATACTCACTTCCTAACAACCAAATGACACACACTTAACAGAGACACATCCCCTTTTTTAATTTTAATTTTTTAATATTTTTTATTGTTCAAAACATGAATTTTGTTTTATTCTTTCGTATGCATAGATGGTAATTCATATAGTCAATTTTCATCTATGATCATTCATGTAATTTCCCTCCCTCCATGACATATGACCTCAATTTATAAAAAATAATTTTACCTAGGCATCTATTACTTGCACATCTCTCTCCTCTTTATGTATATGTATACTATTGTACATCTGCTTTTATATTTGTGTTAGGGTATGTAATTTTGTATATGCAAAAGGTGCGCATTCGTCTGTGTATATGGGTATAGGTGTGTATTTGTGTGCTGCATGTTGTATTTTCTCATGGGTATATGTATATATTACATGTGCGTATGTCTAGGTACACTTATATGGTTAGGGGTGTATTTGTGGATAGTTTACATGTGACCTAAATACTTATTTAAGCATGCACTTGTCAAGTATGTATATATGTGTATATGGATACACACACAGTTATGTGTAAACCTAATTGTGTAGATAGGTGCGCATATGTGTATAGATGTATATATATATATATATATATATATATATATATATATATATATATATATATATACACACACACACACATTTTAAATGTAGGTGTGTATAAATGGCTTTTTTGGTTATACACAGAGGCATAGATACTTTATACCTAGATATCCTTTTAGTATGTGTTTGGGTGTGTAGAATCAGATTCCTACATTTATTGTTTTAAATCTCAAATTTGTGAAAGTTAAACACAATAGAAGCTCCCAACCAACTATAACAGCTGAAGCATTCTGATTGGTTGAAAAATATTAATTCGGTGTCATCAACTATGTCCGAAGGTACCGACCCAAATTTTGACCTTGAGTTGATGCCACAAAATGTAAACATGTTCATGATCCCCCCCCCACATGACCAAGAGAACTAATAAAAATGGAACTTCGACACGGCTTGGTCAGTGGGCACTTAAAATATTGAACTCATTCACTTGACTTCATTGGAAATCAATGCAGCAAAGGAGACGAACCAAATTCTTCAACACAACAACCAACGAACTTTTTCAACCAATTCCAGGCTTAATGTTAATTACTAAAATTAACATAAATCCAGCTTGCGAAAGAACGCTCACTCCCACAAAATATTCTATTCCACAACAAGCATCTCTGGTAAAAGAGCAACAACTCTGTAAAAATCAGTGAGTCAAGAACAATACCTTTTTTTTTCTATTTAATACAAAAAAAAAATTTAAAAAAAATAACTGTTTAATTTTTCTACAACAACAAATATACTTAACTACACCTTATTTTTGTACGTTCAGTTTAGCACCATATATTTTGCATTTGTTCTGTTTTATAAAAAAACATTTATTGTTGAACAATTTCTTCTACTTGATTATTTCTCTTGTTGTCTTTGTGACATTTGATATAGTAAAAATAGTAGAGGGTCAGTTTTATTTGTATTTATAACCAATACAGACTGGCTAACCCACTATTGGTGTATATGTTTATATGTATGTGGATGTATACGTATTTAGATTTGGGTGGGAATATTTATGTATATGGATGATCTTAGTGACATCAGTTTTTGTAAAATCAACCAATAACAACACGTCCCACCAAAAACCAAACGGAAAACATGGATGTGTCAGGTCAAATAAAAAAAAAAAAAAAAATAAAAAATATGTGCGCACCAGAAGTGGGAGATTATTTGACATAGCAGTTGCAGACACGATAGTTGGAGAGTCATCAGCTGCGAGTTTGACAGGACATACACCCTAGTGTGTAGTCCGATGTCGACCAATAGAATATCAATTTGATCAAAGAATACCTACAATATCCACATAAATGCAAACCACTCGTCACCACAAGAGTGTACAGCAACAACCAAAAAAAAAAAAAAAAAAAAAGGATGAATTCAACAACTGAATTCCTTTCAACAAAGACCACGTATGAACTCTTAAATGGGTGACTATCGTCTTAGTCCTTTTGTGTTGAAAGGACTAAGACGATAGTCATCCATTTTAACAACTGTAACCATATAGCATCAATAATAAAAAACGATACTATAGACCATGAAGTTGGCCTTTGCTTATGTATTAGCCCAACCTTTCATCTATATATCATAACTTATAACTTGTTAATATCATCACATTTGCAGGAAACAAAATATATTGTGACCACAAAATGAATTTCATTGGTACTTTCTGTTTTTACTTCAGAGTGACAAGTGTAGACCAGAATGCCTAACAATGGATAAGTGTGCCCATCTAGTACCCCATTACAAAGTGCAGCAGTTCGTGATACAATATTCATTAACCACGTGCTCCATTAAATGCCAAAGCCATTAGAAATTGTCATTACAAGCTGCTAAAAGTACAGGATCTATGTCCGATGCCTACAGAAGCAGTCATCCTTCAACATCCAGATTGAGAGAAAATGTGCAAAAGGTACAGGAAATGTGCAAGGATATACCCAGGACAGGTACAGGAAATGATAAAGTCAGTCAATGATACACCCAGACAATTACAAAACACTGGTAGACAACACTGTTCAAAATAAAATGGGTTTTATGAAAATCGACCAATAATAAAGTTATTAACTATTTCAAATAAGGAGTTTCTTTCCACCCACTGTGTGTGTTATATATATATATATATATATATATATATATATATATATATGTGTGTGTGTGTGTAAAATACATGTATATGGATATTTTAGTAATGCTTCTCTTAAATAATGATGACCATACTTAAATATTGACAAGTAAAAATTAGTAAAATTTTGGGTCTTTTATGAGCTGTGCCCTTACAGTACACTGACAAACGTGGCTCTCAAAGTCTTACGTCCTTTGTATATTAATAAATTATGAAATTTGTTTATATCAAGTGAAAAAAAAAAAAAAAAAAAAAAAAAAAAAAAAAAAAAAAAAAATTTTTTTTTTTTTAAACTTGCATATAATGTCTCCTGATTGAATTTAAAAGGAATTTCACTATTAGAACTGTATTTTAAATATATCTCTTTCAATAATCCTGATTATGCTTGTCCTTACACATGTTAGTTTGCACAACTATTACACCCTGCCAATACTTCATAAATAATGGACTATTCTGTTTTGATTGCGTGGAAAGAGGGGAAAAGACACTACTTGGTTTCAGTGAGAAAATGAAAGCAAAGGAAAATAGAAGTAGTTCAAGGAGAGAGAATCAGATTGAGCCAATAAGAACAGATACTGCATTTTGATCTTAGCCTGAATCCAAGAACAAAGGCAACCACAATGAAATCTATTTTTCAGTTGCACAGTATAGAAACAGAGAAAGGTAAGTGGCCATAATTATTTATTAAATAAAATAACCATCTGCTGAATTATTTTTAAATTATTATCAATAGAAATATTCCTAAGACAGGGATTTGTCTCGAAAGAATGATAGAAAATGTTGAACTATTCTATTTTGATTGCGTAAAAAAGACATGCTACTTGGTTTTAGTGAGAAGATGAATGAATGAAAGAGAAGTATTTAACGTCCGTTTCAGTAAAATGGAAAAAAGTTGCCACTTCCAAATATATTCATCTGTACCCACTTAAAATAACGACCAGCATTCATCATTGTTATTGCAATATTTTGTAAAAATTGTTGATCTGAAACATTTAATGATGCGACCGGGGAATTTCTCCGGATATTTTATTGTCAAAGAACTCGCCATGAGCTTATTTAGTCATTAACTTAAGAATTAAGATTCATCAGAAAATTCAGATAAAATAAAATTAAAAAAAAAAAAAATTTTCATGGGTCTTTCTAATTTAAAGTATTTTAAAAATAAGTTCATCTGATAATGTAGTTTCTCTGAGTGAAGCATTAATTTCAAAGTGTGTGTGTGTGACAAAATAAATTAAAAAATAAAACTAAAAACTCCAATTCACATTAATGATCCAGTTTTTTGGGGGAGAGGGGGAGGAGTTAATTTCATTTTCAAGGTCAACCCCATCTTTGTAGTTATTTTTTTTTTTTTTCCTTTTTTGTTAATATCACTAAACACTAACATGGTATTCTTTTTGTTCTTATTGTTTTGAGAAGAATGCAAACAATAATACCGTTAGTGATTGACTCACTTTGCTTGATCCCATAGAAGTTTAAAGAATTGATGACCAGCTTTGTGTAAATTATACTTTGTGAATGCTACAAAATTCTGCCTTAATAGGTACAAGAAAACATACTCCAAAAAGTACTGTCCAAGGTCCTTGTTGTGTGACTTGACAGACAGTATTTTCGAAATAACAGTACCAAGATGGGGGTGGGGAGAAAAAAAATTTTTTTTTAAAAATCCAACCCCCCTGTAAAAAAAAAAAAAAAAAAAAAAAAACTGCAGATGATTAAGAAGTAAAATTTTTAAAATAAAGAATTTTCAACACTACCACACCAGATATCTGGGCTGGTGATGCTACTGTCACAAACTTTTTTGGTTGCTGCTCGTCTTTGTCCTGTGACTATGCATCTGTCGTGTATATTCCCACATAAGCAGGGCACCACTGACATGGACATTCAAGGAACGAATTACCCCTTGTTGGGGGATTTCCACACACACATCCAACAAGGAAATCAAGCTGGCGGGGATTCCTTCACGTTCATTTCTTAGAAAAAAAAAAAAAAAAAAAAACAAAAAAAAACGTCAGTCAATTATTTGACATTTACAGATTTAAATTTTCATTTTAGTACACATGCACAAAGTAAACCTACAGTTAATAATTTTACTATTGAAATACACTGAAAAAGCTAAATGGGATTGTCAATGGTCAGGAATTATAGCAAGTGGTATTAACAAAATAGAGCCTATATATATATATATATATATATATATATATGATATTTACTAAGCTTAGCAAAAGTCAATGGGGCACAATACAGAAAAATAATATGTAAACAAGTCTTTTAGTATACTAACAGTGACTATGGCAAGCATCCACACATGTACTAATGTAGACCAATTTCATACAGGGCTGGAACAAGCTGGCTTCAAGTGAAAATTGTACATAACAAAAACGGATTTTTTTATGCAACTTTCAATCTGTGACATTATTAATGTGTATTTTATTTTTAAATTTCCATAGTATCTGGTTTGACAATTTGTAAGGCATACTCTTGCCTCTTGAATAAATATTTTGGGTGGAGAGGGGGTGGATCTTTCAGTTTCCAAAATATATTCTTGGGTTCCTAAGAATAATGGGGTAGAGAGTTGGAATTTTTTTTCTCTGTAACAGCCGTGGGGCCTTTTAATAAAAAAGAGTAGGGGATTGGAAAATCATTTAATGGTCTAAAAGTGCCAAATTTAAAAACAGGGTAGACTTATTAAACTCGTGGACATATATATAAAGTTTTATGGTATGCTATAATTATGGAATAAAGTACTCAATATCAGGGATAGAGTATATATAAATATGAAAGTGAACATTGAAGTCAACACTCAAAGGAAACAGACCGTTTCAGGCCTGATGATTGCGTCCAGCATGAAACAGTGTCTTCTCAGTATTGACTTTAATGTTCTCACACATGTGTGTGTGTGTGTGTGTGCTGAAAATATACTTAATTTTTGGACTATTCTAGGGCTTGTCATACTTATAAGCTACATAGTAAAAAAAAAAAAAAAAAGCCATGTCCTTCCAGGACAAACTCAAAATGTACTTTCACAGGTTCCCTTTCTTTATCTGTGAATTACCTTGCATCTTTGTGAAAATTGTTTTTTTATTGACTGATTACCACAGAAAGCTGGAGACTCCATTAACACAGAGATGGGAGGAGACAAATTCATGTTCTTATGAATATCATTAGTGTAAAAGTGAAAGCAACAGACAAACCTAGAATATTAACTTCAGCAAGAGGCTTTGCCAAAAGTAACATGTATACATTTTATACAGCGGAACCTTGGAACTCAAACACTTCTAATATTGTATTTTTTTTGAGAAAAATATACTCCAGATTTTGAACAGAAATGAGGTCAGCCAAATGAATACAAATCAAACTGAGGAAGCCCCGGACATGCAGATGTATCAGTTACCTGTTGTTTTCCATTGACAATGTGCATGTTCACTCTATCAATGTGCGTTTTGCTCCATTTTTATCCAATATTTCCTTCTTATATACACCCTAATGGCTCTAAACAAACTATATCTGGCAGCATAACCTCTGATCAGGAGATCTGAGGTTTTGAGGAGTGTGAAACCAGCTCTTAATTGCTGTTGTTCCCAGGTCCACTCTGACATGGGCTGAAAGCACCTGTTAGGGCCCCAGCTATGGGCAAATAGTGAACCCCCACCGTACAAAAGTTAAAACACTAGGAAAATATAAAAATACATTTTGTAGTAAAATTACCACCAATACATTTTTACAGCAAAATGACAATGAATGAATTTTATAATAAAATTGAAGACACACACACACACATATATATATATATATATATATATATATATATATATATATATATATATATATATATATATATATATATAACACAATAATAATGGGCTCTCCCATCAGTTTCGATGTATGAGGATCTGACAGTTTAATTGATTCAGTGATGAAATTTTTGTGTGATAATCTTAAGTGGCACTTAAGACCTGCTAGTGATTTACAAAGGAGGCCACATATGGAGCAAGAGGGAAGATTGTGAGATGAGATCACTGTTAGATTGGCTGACCTTTTAGATCTTGCACTCACTTCTTGAAGATTATCCAGATAAGCAGATTGAAAACCACTGAGTCCACTAAAACATGTGGATCTCCATTCTACCTGCTCCAAGGCTAAGCGCTCAAGGGTGTTATGTGGTATATTGACAGCTGACAAGTTGCTTTTCAGCTCGTCTTTGTATCTTAGCCATGGGTGTCCTATATTCCTGTAAACTTGATCTAACTGGCTGTACATTAGGATCTTGGGTATCTTGTCATCAGACATTCTCAAGACATGACCAGTCCACCGTAACGGACTGTATGATAAAAGTCTTGATTCCTCAAATATTACACCTGTTAAACAGGTCTATGTTAGATGCCCTATTTTGAAGGTTAACTCCAGATTGCATGCAGACAGCTTATATAGAAAACATCCAGCTGGCATATATGATAGCTGTATGGAGTCCATGACTGAACTGTACAAAAGGATGGCAAGTACAACAGATATATATATATATATATATATATATGTATATATAAATATATATATAAATATATATATATATGTATATATATATTATGTATAATTATTTATATATTATATGAGAGTTACCTATTAGAAAGCGCTCAATATCAGGGATAGAGCTAACATATTTGGTTGGATGGATGTGAGTTTGTGACCCTGGGTTTCACGCTTTAGCGATCGTCAGACAAACTGATTAATGTTTTAAAAAACTGATTAATGTTTTTAAAAATTTTTTAAAACATTAATCAGTTTGACGATCGCTAAAGCGTGAAACCCAGGGTCACAAACTCACATCCATCCAAATATATATATATATATATATATATAAAAAAAACTAATACAAAAAAATAAAACTGGATTAACAGAAGTCGGAATGATATATTTAAGACATTCATCAGTTGGCAGCGAAAGACTTCAAAAATCTGCGGAGAAGAAATAAACTTACCCTAAGATAAGGACAGTTTTCATTGGGAACTCATAGTCTGTCAAACATCGACTGTTGGCTGTCTGTTCAGCTCCTACCAGAGCATAACCATCACGCTGTTTTTCAATCAAGAAGTTTTGGAGGTATTCACTTGGAACCTACAGAATGTCAACATTTTTTAAATTCTTCAAAAAGTTATGTTTTAAATGTTTAATAAGAGTATCACCTACCTACTCACCTAGATCATGCAAGTCAATGGCTGAAATAAACACCTGAATATATGGGGAGACAGGATTTGTGCACTGATGCAAAGGAGATGTAATATGTGGATTAATTGACTGGTCAGAGAAAAGCTGAAACAGGGTTCCACCCTTTACAAATAGCTGATAAAACCATGAAATCAACACTTTCCTGTTATAGACAGCTTTTTATATATATATATATATATATATATATATGTGTGTGTGTGTGAGAGAGCATGTGAGTTGAAGATCAAATATAGATCAGATATGGATAGGAATCTGACATAAAATAAAGAACAAGTAGGAAATGTATCTCAATCTAACATGTTTCACTATTATTAAAGCTTCGTCAGAGATTGAGATAGAAATAAAAAAAAAAAAAAAAAAGAGATGGTACACTGGCATGTTATTTTTTTTGGTTAGTTTTTATTAGTCAGATACGTGTTGTGTATAAACACAATAGATAAAATATAAATATGTATGAGGAACATGTACTTTAGTGTGTAATAGTGTATGAGTGTGTATGTAAAGAAATGTTTGTTTGCCTTTGTGTATGTTGGATGGTAACATTAATTCATAAGTGTGTGTGTGAAAAACATCTATAGATGTCACCCTTGTGTATGTCTGTGAAATGTAGGGAAATGTTGCAGTAATTTTGTATTTGATTGGATTTTTATATTCTCGTGTATGTGGGAAATGCCTGTTGATGTCACCTCTGTGTGGGTCGGTGAAATGCAGCAAGGTATTACAGTGCAAAAACAGTTATGTGGGTGAGACATCATGTAATCTAAAAACCCGTACCTATGAACACAAGAGAGACTTGTGTTTAGACAGACATTCCCTATCATCTTACATAGAAGCAATGTGGGGACATAACTGTGATTTCACTAATGCCAGCCTAATTTAAAAGAACATAACCCTCAAAGGAGAAAATATTATGAAAATATTTATAGCATTGCTACAAAGTATAAACACTTGCTTAAAACATTACATCATCTTTCTACAGATCCATTATTCATGAACCTAATTTATGTCTATCTAATACATAAAATAATGAATATAAAATTCTTTTCAAAAAATATGCATGAGAAATGCTTTAATGATAAATCCAATCAAAACATGATTATTACAATATCTTGGAGAAACAGTCATTAGATCTGACATGCTTTAACCTCTCGGCTACAGAATATATTAATGACCAGGCAAAGTTCAATGAACAGCCTTTAAGCACAGATTTTTCTCTGACTCTTGAAATAGGATAAGAAACTGAGCAGATTTGTCTAACAAAGCAATTAGTAAAGAAAAGGGATGAATTGTTTTTTTTTTTAATTTCTATTAATCCGACAGATTTTTATTACTTAAACGTTATTTTAGTGGATACTTGTATTTGAATAGATGCTCCATGTATTTATAAAACAGTATATTTATTTATTTTTATCTACTGGCCTGAATATTTGAGAAATCTCAGAGTAAAATATGCGCTCTCCGCACATGGAGGCACGGGGGAGAAGTAATGAATGGATTGCGGCTTGGATTGTGGAATCAAAGAGCCAAGCTTGAATTCCATTCAAATTCATTACATTCACTTATGTACTAATACCCTTGGAAAAGGTATGAATCCATCTCTTCACTTATCAGCTATGGGTAAATAGCAGGACTGACTTGGTTCTACAGCCTTGGGTGGCAACTGGTCTAGGAAAAGGGCAATTCCAGATTCAAAACATGTGGAGGTCTGTTTGGGGGCCTTGTGGCATACTGTGCCCCAGTTTTCTGCATTCGACTCTCCCAAAAAGAGTGTGGTAGGTCCTACACAAGCTTTCCCCACTTTCATCAAATGGTATATGTGGGTAGTCTGGTTGTTGGTTCATATGTTGAAAATGATGGGAGAGTTCTCTCATATATATATATATATATATATATATATATATATACACACACACACACACACACAAAATACAGAAGAAAATTTACACCAGTGCTAAATCTCTATAAAAAGAAAAATTTGAAAAGATAAGCAGTAAATTGCTAATATCCTCTAAAGAGTGGATAGACAGGTCCATCTAAAACTCTGGAGTCAGGATGCTGAAGATAACATCAATCAGCTAAGTGACAAATTTTACTCTCATTAGTCCTGTATGTATGTATTGCCCTTGACATCCCCCAGCCAGAGTGTCACAGCCTGCATGCTGTGTGACAAGATATGCAAAACCAGCTCTGGACTGAAAAGGCACATGGTGATGCACAGGAATCAGACAGCATTGTGAATCCATCAAGGTTGTCAGTTGCATAACAAGTCATGCAAGTGCACAGCTAGCCTGGTAAGTCACCTTTGGGGTCATGCACGAGAGGTGAGAGTTGGGGAGTGAAAATGATTAGACGGCCAGCATTTGTGAAGATGTGGTGGATCATTATCTTCATTCATGTATGTATTAAAGACATTTTATGTTTATATGTTCTTTTATAGATACAAATATTTAAGAATACTTTGTTTATAATAAACAGTATTAACAACATTTACCGGACCTGAATGTCAGAAATTTTTCATGCCTTAAAAACATGTGTCCTGCAACAGGAAATTAACCTGTATCCTAATTGTGTTTAAAACATAAAATTGACCTTGCTTAACCAACGCCCACAGAGGGCCCAATTGGTTAAGGCAAGGTCAATATGATCGTCATGGAGATACAGGTTTAAAAACAGTAAAATTGACATGTTTTCTAACGAAAATTTCTCTGATATTCAGGCCAGTAAATGTTGTTAAATACTCTATTATAAACAGAACATTTACTTAAATATTTGTATCTATAAAAAAAAAAAAAAAAAAAAAAAAAAAAAAGAAAGAAAGAAACATAAAAATGTGTTTTAATAATTGTCGGACTTTGTCCATTTCATAATGTATGTATGTAAAGCCCCAACAATAAAAATAGTTTGAAGATCTTTTGAAGGATGAAATGTGTTATGCATTAATTGTTTCCATTTTATCATTCTATTTACTCACAATTTGTCTGATATGTTGCATTTATATATCATTCTCCACTAAAATACATTAAAAACAAATGATTATTGTGCACTTATGCTTTTTGGATTTAATAATGTATATAATTAAAAGGCAGCTGCAAAGATCCCTAAATTACAGTAATGAACAAACCAATGGCAGTCGGTTAAAAATTGTGGTGGATGACGAAAGTTACCAGACAATACAGAATCATATTAAAGAAATATTATTGGTATTCACTTACCTCTCTAATTGGAATCCATTTTTCTGCTGTGACACTCAGAGATGAGAAGTTTTTGTCCACAAGATGTCTCATGCTACCAATAACATATTCTTTTATTCCAAATATCTCACTGGTTCGACAAAGACCTAACGAAAGAAAAAAAAAAAAATGACAAGATAAATCTTCTGTAACCCTGATACTCATTTACCTCTTCTGTTTCCTACTGTCCATTCCTTGAACACTAAAGACAGATTCAAATCTAGCAGGAGGTTAAAAAAAAAAAGTTCTTAAATGACTAACCAACCAGAATCATTATGAAACCAACTAAATATAATCACCACAGAACAAAAAAGCATTTGATGCTAAAATGTGGGTTAGGAAATCGTATCTGTCACCATATTTTCATCTTGAAAAAAGTTGTTAAAATGAATATGCATAAATTACCTCCTAAATTTGGCACTTTGCTAATCAAAGATGTGACCAGAATGAGTTGGCCTGGATGGGTAGGGCTGTCCAGAAAATCTCGTCTATATTCATCAGCAGCTGGATCAGGAGTCATCAGCCTCCATGGCATTATCTTTTTTTGGACATCTGTACCGTCATTTTTGGACTCATCTTCCTGGGCAAGAGGAGCACCTGTTAAGAGAAAAATATATGCACAGGTATTCTTCAAAAATATTTTTGTTTAAGTGGAATCACAAAATTTTCCAGATATGCAAGTTTCAAATACAGTTATATGTATTATATAATTATTTTTTTTTATAAAAAAAAAAAAAAAAAAAAAAAAAACAACAAATGTTATAAATTTTTTTTTTTATAAAAAATAATTATATCTGCTCTACTTTGTATTGAGCACTCTTAAGAATAGTAATTGTTGGTTATTGGAATTCATTCCGTATACACCAATTATATACTTGTATGTGTGTATTTTATATATATATATATATATATATATATATATATATATATATATATATATATATATATATAAGCACAAAGTGGTTAGAATGTTCTCCTTCTGACCACATGACCTGGCCTGGATTTAAATCTCATATGGTTGATTTACCAGGAAGGAGACTTGCTGATGTTATTGGTCTGAAGTAAGAGAGGGGGTCCCCAGCATGCAGCACCTTTGAAAAGTGCCTGAAAACCCCCACCGCAGGTTGACCCAAGCCTTGAGTGAAATTGGGTAGATGGAACACTGTCAATAACTGTGCTAGCACAAAAGTCAGAAGTCATTGTGACTGAGAGTCAGTGTGCTAGCGCTGTTTAGATTGTTTATCATGCTAGATAACACTCTCTCTCTCCCATAAACTGTAACTAAGGTCTGCTCAGCATAGTTGCATTATAAACCACAGGTGGGCTCTGTGGGTGTTGAAAAAAAAAAAAAAAAAAAAAAAAAAAAATGTACCAAGCAAGCATCTGCAATAAGGATTGGTTAGCTGGCCTAGAATATGAGTGGCCAGCTATATATATATATATATATATATATATATATAGCTATGCGTGTAATAAATTTGGGTATGTAATCCAGACAATTTTAAATTATTGACATATGGAAAAACGTTCATGAAAGTTCGTTTTGAAAACAATAACCGATAATGCATTTAACCTATATGGCTTCATCAGATGGATAATGAAAAATGTGTTGCGTGTGTTTAAAATAATTAAATTTTATATTTTTCACAAGCTGGTATTGCTTGATAAAATTGTTTAACATTTTATATTCTCATTCATGAATGTTTTTCCATATGTTCATATAACAAAAAATATATACAGTTATGTAAAAAAAAAAAAAAATTATATATATATATATATATATATATATATATATATATATATATATATATATATATATGTGTAAAACTGACAAAATCTGAACCTTGCACAAGTATGAACTGTAAATGACAGTGTTTAGTTTACAGAGATAATTTTCAAGTGTTGGGCTTCAAATTTTAATTTTTCTACAGTTCTTTTTTGACATAACCTAAGTGTACTGTTTCTAGGTATGCATACCTTAGACAGTGAGATATAGCAACCAAAACTCTGAAGACTAAGTTCTGTTCATCAGCAGGTTTATTAAAAGCCATAGAAATATTTATCTGGTTGTCTGAGGTATGCACATGGGAGATGAATGCATATTGGGAGGTAATAAATAATAACATTTGCCATCATTTATATATATATATATATATATATATATAAAAGACAATCAACGTTTTTGTGTAGATTAATTTTATTTATCAAATTTTCCAAATTATAAATAATCCTTTTCAGATAAGGAGGAAATTCCGTCAGAAATTATCCAAAGTTCATTTTGGAGGAAATATGTTCCAAGCTTTTGGCTTCCATAAAAAGAATATCAGGGTAGATAGAGACAAATGCAGAGTATAGTGACATGAACAAAGAGTGTTCTAACATAGAGATGTGACGTGTATGCTTATATATCTCTTAAAAATATATTTCAATAGAACACTGTTGAGAGATAAGCTAATTCTATAAACAACAGCCACCTGCATTAATGCAAAGCTCTTCAGTAAAATGAATTGGAGCACTCTGGCTGATTAGCATTTGTTTATGTATATAAACAATATGCTAGGTTTAGCTGTCTCTCTGTCTAATGAAGATAAATCAGTGGTAGAAACTGACTGACACCAAATCAGTTGGGTTTTGATCCTGGCTCGAGGCCTTCAGATGACTAGTTGCACTGAGGAACTGTGATACAGTGAAACAATACTGTCTGCAAATGATTATATATATATATATATATATATATATACACACACACACACACACACACACACATGTATGTGTGTGTGATAGGATGATACCAATATTTTTACTGATTTCAATGATGTTCTAAATATCCAATCAAATTCTGACAATGATTAAAATTATTTTTAGGCCCTATAGTTGTTTTGGGAAACTTACTGAACAAAGTACATTTATTAAAACATTTAGTAGAAAAATGAATACAAAATCTTATGAAATAAAGTCATATCTCCTTTTTATTTTAAAAAAATTGGGTAATAGTTTAAACAATAAAGAGAACAATATCTTTAGGTAAATTACTTAAGTTAGCTACAATTGACATATTGCTTTATTTTGGTTACCATAAGAAATCTTTAACCTTCAAACTACACTTTTTTGCCATAATTGGGGTCTGAAAATAAACTTAGATTAAAATTTTCACTGTTAGAAAAAAAAAATGTTTTTAGTTTTCTAATTGTAAAGATTCAACTAATAATTGTTTGCTATTAATTGTAAAATAAAAAGGGTCTAATTTTTTGTCCACCATTTAAGTCTTAACAAGCAAAGGTGCCCTCTAAATATTATGCCATCTCCTTAAAATTTTTATATCATTTTTTAATGAATGGAAAAAATTTAGGGGTGACAATTCAATTTCAGCATGCACTTAAGAAAAAAAAATATATTATATATATATATATATATAAATATACTGCAAATACTGCAATAATACTTTAAGCAGAAAGGCATTATCCTATGTGCTGTGGTTTAACTTATCCATAGATTTTGATATAAGTATAAAGAGTACCTAATCCTGCAAGACAGGGAATAAAAACTAAATGCAAATCTTAAATTTCCTTGCAGACGTTTAATAAAATATGAATTATCACAGCAACTTGATAAATAAATAATAAAGAGTTTTCAATCCTATCTTAATAAAATTTTTACTATCTAAAATAAATTTCTCACAACTAAAAATTTAATAATTTCTAAAAAGAATCAAAAATCTTTTGTTAAAAAAAAAAAGAAAAGAGAGAGAGAGTAAAAGTGAAACAACACAATAAAAACATCCATGGAACTTTAAAGAGATAAGCAATTTATAAACTTTACAATAAATTTTTCAAAAATATTAGGAAGTTGAAAGCTAAATAACACGAATATTTCACTTGATCATTTTACAAAAGGTATGAGATTCAACTGTTACAAAGCATTAAAATAAAAATGATCATAATCTTCATAAGGATGAGGACAATAAATGTGTATTTCTTTTGCATGGGATTGATTTTTTTCAGTTATTTATTAGATTAAATTTTACCAACTTTATTTTAAAAATATTAAAATAAATCATGTTAAAAGTGGGAGAAAAAAAAAAAAAATCTATAACTTAATCATGCCAGATAAAATTGGGATAAAAATACTTGTTTTAACTTTTATTACACACATCTACTTATAAAACTTGCATCTTGTTTGAATAAATGAGAAAAAAAAAATACTTCAAAATATTTTAAATGCCATAATTTAAAACAAAAAAGTTTAATTATGTCTAAGAAAAATATTAGTAAAATTAAATACAATTTTTGATGGAAATTAAATTTTAAAGCTTTTTAATACAAACTTTTATGTGAAAAAGCTTTTTTCCAGAAACTTTTTTAACTATCACTAATGGAAAACTTATTTTTATTTGTGGTATACTACATAAACAAAAATGAATCTTCAATAACAGAGACTAAAAAATAATTTTATGGATTAAAACTATCATAAAAAAATTGCTGTAAATTAACTGCCTCACTACAAGGACAATTTGTGACAAACTCAATTTTTATGTGAAGAAATCAAATGTGAGCTTCACAGGAATTCCATACATACATTTTTTTTTTTTTTTTTTTTATAAATTTAAAAAAACAAAAACAAAAAAAAACAATTGTCTGGAAAGAACCTGGTAGAACAACATGAATTCTTTTTGTGTTTATATTACATAATTTTGGTTATAATTATTAAATTAATAATTTATAATAAATGGGTAAATTAAGAATGTTTACAAAGAAATTAAAAACAAATTTTATTTTGAACTGAAACAGAATTTAAACTAGTGAACTTTATAGAAAATTCAAAAACAGTAGAAAGTTACTTTTTTTTGTTTTACATCATACTTGAGTACTATGATCTATAGACTTTAGTTTTACTGATAGTTTAAAATCAATAAATATTTATATCTTTTTATCAGTAGTATCAGGAATGGAAAATGAAATTTTCAAACAAAAACCAAAAACTCCAATTGTTTTTTGGAATTGGAAATTCTGATCAATCGTTCCATCACTAATTTTTATATATATATATATATATATATAGTTAGAACTGTGTAGCGAAAAAAAAAAAATTTTAAATCAATTTATAATATATATATATATATATATATATCTCTCCCGATTTTCAATTTCAAATTTTCCTTGATTTCGATTGGGAAATTTCATTTTTATAGTATTTTATGAAATTTGCAATACATTATGCTATAATTATTATTAAAACAAAAACAATTTAAATTTTAATTGCATATAAATAAATAGCAAATATCTACAAATCATTTTTTTAAATATTAAAATCCAAGTCCAAAAATAAATATGTAAAAATAAAAAATATAACATGACTAGACAAAACAGTGGAATGTTTTAGTGTAGAGCTTCGTTCTTTAAGAACACATTCAAATTGTTTTTATTTTTCTAAGTAAAAGTATTTAGATAGATTTATAACTATTGATTATTCATAATATAAAAATCACATTTAAAGTATCAACAGAAAATAACTTGAATCTCAATAATAAATATCAGAATAAAGTCAAACATTGACAAAAATTTTACAAAACAGTAATTAACCATAACCGAATCTTTGTAACAAAATATTGAAAAACGAATTAGACATTAATTCAAAATTTGGGTAAAACAACTTATCCCAAGTTGAAATACTGCTTAAATTTAAAATTCCAAATAAAAGTATGGTTTCCTTGTAGAAGCAAAGCTTTATGAGATAATGAATTTTTTTTTTTTTTATTAAATTGGTTTAGATGTTATAGAAACAATCTTTTCTAAATAAATAAATAAATAAAGTCATGGTAGGGAGAAAAAAAAAAAAAAAAAAAAAAAGAAAACATTTTTCTTAAATTTTTCAGGCACATAATTTCTATTTTAAAAAGAGAAAAATCATTTTTTTTTTTTAATCATTTCAAGCACATAATTTTGATTTGATTTTTCATTTTTACTGCTGTATTTGGAATCACAAATTCATTTTAAACTTCATGCATCACGCAGTAATCAAGACAAGTGAAACTTCCACGCATGACTACTCAAGGCAAACTTGTGTAAACCAAGCCAGTAATGGTAGCCGTTCTGTTGCCGTGATGCGAAAAAAGTTGAATTTACATTGCCCGTAAGTCCTAAACGGTAATAGAGTACAAACTGTTAATGTTAGTTCTGAAATAATCAGACAGTTTCACACCATAATGGAATATTTTCATTACAATTGGTTTTGGGGAATTATGCTGCAACCTTCTTTTTTTTTGCCCGATACAAAGTCATAATTGATTTGGAGGCTTGATTGATTGAACGGTTTAAAACAAATTCCCGTGTTCTTCAAGAACAAATTACAAAAAAAGAAAAAAAAAAAAAAAAAAAAAAAAAAAAAAAAAAAAAAAAAAAAAAAAAAAAAAAAAAAAAAAAAAAGTTACAATGGAACACATTAACCTTAACATTGTAAACATATCAATCAATGAACAAAAATACTTTCAAGAAAAAAAGGTTTGTATATACATGTGTGTGTGTGTGTAAGATTTGAAAATTCATCTGATGTTTCATGTATTTATATGCATATTTTTTTTTTTTTTTTTTTGTTTCACCCCAAGCAAGGCGGGAAGCCACTAGCACGCAAAGGGGGTTACAGAGAGTTGAAGCGAGAGCAAAGAGTAGTGATAGACGAAAGGATGAAAAGAAGGATAGGGGATAGATCAGGGCATCTGGAGACGTCGATTGACATTACATTTGAATAGTTGAAGATTATAGCTATCAGGGAAACAGGAAAAGGGGAGGGAGTTCCACAGGCGAGAGGTGTGAGACATGAAGCTATTGGAGTAGAAGAGACAGGTACATTTAACATTTTCAACAGTGAAAGGGTGAGAGGAAATGCCAGCCTAGTTGAATGCTTAAATTCATGAAGTTTGGGAAAGCAGCTCATTGGAGCAGTTACCATGAAAGTATTTGTAAAAGACAGAGGGAGGTGATGGCACATCTGTGAGAGAGCAACTGCAGACGAGATGTCAGATCAGGGCCAATTACATTGCATAGCAGTCTCTAGATTTTATCAAGGACCTTGAAGGGGCTCCAGACCATATATGGCAGCAATACTCCATGCAAGGGCAAATGGTTGATTTGTAGATTTGAAGGATTGACTCCAGCGAGAAAAATTTCCTGGCATGGCGCAGGGAGCCAACTTTCCTTGTGGTGGACAAAGCTATGGACTCAATGTATTTGTTCCATCTCAGGTCAGCAGACTATGTGAGACTGAGCAGTCGCAAAGAGGTGCTCTCGTGGAGTTGAGCATCAGACATTCTAATGGAAGGCAGGGATGGTTCTCTGTGGTGAGTAATAGAGTTTTGTTTTTGAGGCATTAAAGTTAACCAACCAGTTCCTGCCCCAGTCCACAACCGATTGGAGGTCCTTTTCGAGACAAATGGCCAGGTTAGTTCTGTGATATTGGTTTTCAGAATAAAAAAATGTTTTCTTTTACTGGTTTCACTGTGGAGCTTTTCAAATGTTTAAACTTTTGAAACGCCACATAGTGAAAATGGCTAGATAAAACAATTATAATTTTTTTTTTCTTCTGAAAACCCGAATGTATCAAATATTGCATATCATTACATAAAACATCAGGTGCATTTCAAATCTTATTTTCCTTATATAGAGATTTGTACAGAACTTTCTAACACTCATTATTTTTATATATATATATATATATATATATATATATATATTTTGTCTTGGATGCTACCTGAATCTTATCAAAAAACAAAATAAATTCCATGCCTTAAAATGACAATGTACAGTTGAAAGTATTTGTATATTTAAAGAAGACCTAATACAGTTTGTAATTTTAAAAAAAAACAAGAATCCTAATATTCATTGGATGATTGGTAGGTTAATGCATCTTTAAAATTTAGTTAGCGACAGGAATTCGCCATTTTATATCATTAACTTTGCTAATTTACTTTTTGTATGAACGATTCATTGTAATACAAAATTGAACTGCACCACATATTTGAGTCAAACACACAATTTAAAAATAAAAGCAAAGATAAATAAAAATGCACTCACTATGAATTTTGACTCTCCAGGGTCCAGACTTGCTTGAATTGAGAGAGTCTCTTCCATTATAAAGAGAGAGAAGCTTGAGTGCATTTGCATCCAACCAGGTAGGGTCCATATCACTAAACATTTCCGGAGGTAACCATTCTTCATCAGTTAGACAGGTGAGTTTAGGTAAAGTTAAAAATATCGTCTGGAAAAAAAAGGAAATGTTTTCAAGATACCAGATTACGTTTATCAGCTCCTGGCAAGAAATTAAAAAATTTAACATATGTTAAAAAAAATTTTTTTTTTTTTAAATTTTTAATTGTCAGTGGCCTCACTTTCATGTGCACGTTTAGTCACATCAATGTAAACAATTTTGGTTGGATAGAATTCTAAACGATAAATCATGTCGCATGAAAACATTTTCCACATTGTCTATATTTCTGAGATGAGGTATTATGTATACTATTTACATTATTCAGACTATTTTCCTCATCTTTGTCGCCATATTTATTATGTTTGGGCTGTTGTACGCGCCGACCTTCTTCAGGTGGTTGGAATGTCAAACTGAACCCTTTATTTTGCTCACTGGGGTAGACTTTATCTACTGTGCCCAGTGGATAAAGGTGTTAGTTAGATCCAGTGACAGGACCCAAAGAATGTGAGTTCAATACCCAGTTAAGGCAATGGAGAACTTGGAGAGGGGATTTAACAGGAGATAACTGACATCCATTAAACATGGGCCTTACCTGATTTTCTCCACAATGGACCCTGCTAGCATGCATAGGTGTGAACCGAAAGGCACCATCCACTGCTGAAGGTCATTTATCATTCACGATAGGAGAGTCCACCATATATATATTTTTTTATTATGTGTGTCTATTACCATTTAATGGATTTGGGGATAATATCTTTCAGCATAAGAATTTACTTAGTAGGTAGCCTTTTTTTTTTTTTTTTCTTATGAGGAGTAGGAAGAAGGCTCTTACTCCCCTACCAGAGATGCAGTTGATATTTTCTAGATCTTGCAATGAAGCATTAAAAAAAGTCAAACAATACTCACTTCGATACTGTAATCTCTGACAGGATCAAATGTGGCCATAAAATAAGATTCCATTAACTTTAAGGTATTCTTAGTTGCATTGCTGTAAAAGGAAAACACAATTTTTACAATTTTTTTTTTAGTAGATATCATAGGAATGCATGTTTGTTATAGGCAAGAAAAAAAAATTAATTTATCTCGTCTCCCCTTAATTTATGGGTTAAATAGCAGTTGGTTTAAGAGAAGGATGAGTGAATTCAATGTTATAGAGAAGTCAATGAGAACTCATTCATTTCCATTTTATAATATAGATACAATACAGTAAAGATCCTTAAGTCTGGTTCAGGGTTAGAAACTTGAAACTCATCTCATGGTCAATAGAAGAGTCCATGTTCAACAATTCAGTGTAGTGAAGTGTAGTGTCTTTCTACAAAACCTATTAGAGGAACTTGTTGATTAGGCTATTATTTTTTTTTCTCCACTTTTGCCTTCAAAATGTCCTGTGTGTGCTAGGATTCTCCAGGCCCTCTTTCATGATGTGCCCAAGAAATTTAACTTTTCTCTTTGTAATTATAATTTTCCTTGTAGTTGTAACAGACCCTCCCACACATAAGTAGTAGTAGTAGCGGTCGCCAGTTGGGCTCAGTGGAGTTGAGCGAGTCAGTCGATGTCGGACATTGAAGTATCAACCATCACAACTAGATTGCTGTGTCATTAACTATTATTTTCAAGTTCCTAACGTTTTGTACGTCGGACCTAATTTAGGATCGACTTAGTGAAATACAAGCCTCCATTGTGAAAACTACTTTACAATACATCTAAATCTTGTCCATCATTCACTTCATAGGAGACGAGACTGGAGAGAAGCTCAATATTTTTCTTTGGTTTCTGAAGACATTTTCTGATCTCTTAATACTTTGCTTAGTTTGTGGGAGACATCAGTCATATTTCATAAAGCGAGAGAAAAGAAAATCGAAGGAAAAAAAGAATAGAACCTTACTAACCTTCCATCATTGAATTGAATGCAGCCTTCAACGAGCGCAAACTTGCTGAGGATATTGTCCAAACCCAAAGACTTGCACTGGCGCCACATTTTACAGATGGTGGCCTGAGCATGGATCCTTGTGCTGAAGTGATGATTCATACACAAAGGAAGCAGGTGGGTAAAGGCAGAATCATAAAATTTTTGCTACAGAAAAGAAAAAAAAAAAGAAAAAAAAAAGAAAAAGAAATTAAACAGGAAAGCAAAGAGCTGTTTGAATATCTAAGATGTGGCAATGGTTGCATAAGACTGGTAAAGGAGAATACATGCATACCTGAGCCCATTTTTTTTTGTTGAGGCAGGACCAGGATTAATCTTGCAAAAAGCAAGACAAAAGAAAGGTTTGTCAATGATTTGAGAAGGTTCTACAAGGTCTGATGTGCTGCCTAATGCCCAACTCAGTCACAGTGTACCATCTATAGGAAAGTTGCCATTCAAGTTGAGACCCCATCTTGGCATTATATATATATATATATATATATATATATATATATATATATATATAAAAAGAGATATCATACATCAAGTGTTGGTGTTAAAATAGTGGCCAATGTAATATAACAGCTTTTAAGTATATATTAATAGATATACATATTTTTCCTCACTGGTAGCACAACTTGGAGTTTCATGCACAACAATTCTCAAGTGTTGAAACTACATTGTGCATGAAACAGTCATGCTACCAGGGAGAGAAAAAAAAATGTGTGCGTATTATATATATATATATATATATAGGGTGACCAAAAAAAAAAAAAAAAAACGGGAACTTTTTAACAATCTAATAAAACCAAGAGTGATGAAAAAAAAAATTTTATTCATAGCAATTGAAACCTTAAAACATGCCATTTAAGAAACAATGATGGAATTTTCATTCTTTAAAAATTACGTCCTGTAGATGGCGTCCTCCTGTACGAATGCATTCGTGAAATCTGCTGTTGAGATTCCTCATTGACTGCTGCAACATCTCAGCTGGGATACTGTGAATTCATCTTCAATTCAAATATGGCGAAATGTTTACTTGCTCATGGTCACTGTCTCACAGTTTTGCCACTTGCTCATGTCTGGCAATACGCACTTCAAAAATTCCCATTTTTTGGGGTCACCCTGTATACACACATACGTTTCATCAAAAACGACTGCCAATATATTGCAGTTATGTTTTTTAACTAATTTTTCTTGTTTTCTTATAAATTTCATCTTTTCTGGGTATAAATTATGTAGAAATTGTCTGAATGTTCAAGTGCTTTTAGCTGTTATTAAGGATGATTTTATTTTAATTTAAACTAAACATATGGATTTATTTACCTATATATCTACAGTTATAGGAATATTTTCTTTTTCAAGCACAGTCAGCATATTGTGGCTGCATTCATAGTTGATATTCAGTGTTAGCCTTTTCTTTTTTATTAATAATATTTCTACATTATTTTCAGCCTCTTTTTTTTTATTATTAATGAGTATGTTGGGGATGGAGTTTGATAGGTATAGGTATCTGTGGAGTATTTAAACAAGACCTAAATGAGCTATGGTCAGAGAGGTGTAACAAGTCTTCTTGTTAGGCATGCTGCAATATATATATATATATATATGGTAGGTTACTTAATTCCAGGTGCATGTATGTCTGCGTAAGTGACTTGCTAGCTAATCACTGTTGTAGACACCTGCTCAAGCACATATTTTCTCCAACTGTGTTTTCATTGCAATTATGCTAACTAAACAATTTCTGGGAGAGAGCAGATTATCTGGTACAAACAGTAGTTGAACAAAGCCAATATGCTTAACTTGTGACTTTGCAGTAACACACCCATCAACAACTTCCAAAAAGTTGAGAGAAAAAAAAAAAAAAAAATTATGTAAATTTCATTTTTTCAGGCCAATGGTGGGTAATTGAAAGAGATAAAAAAAACAAAACAAAAAAAAACCCAAACATATGAGAAGTTTCAAAAGTACTACTTCAGACTAAATGATTTTTATGGATTTTTATAGTGAGTAAAATTTGTCACTTAGCTGATTGAGATTACATTCAGCATCCCGAGTCTAAAGTTTCATGTTTGTATGCTTATATATTTTTCTTTTTATACAAAGACACACACAAATGACAAAACCACCAAGTATTGATAAACTAATACAAAGCCTTCCAGATAAGAAAAAAAATTAAATTAAATAAACGACCCCCAATAAAACAAGAATAATTATGCTTCCCAAGGTTACAACTGACAAAATTTGAACTGCTACTGCAATCATCAGGCAACCGAAACAACATAAGGGAGAAGGAACCTACCAATGTCAGTTATAACATCATGAGAAATGCTGAAGATACAGGGATGCTTAACTTTAAATTCTTGGATTATATCACACACACAAAAAAAAAAAAAAAAAAAAAAATTTCAAACTGCTAATTTCATACACTATTGGGTGCTGTACTGGGGATGCCTTAGAATATATTCACAGGAGGTTGGGAATGAGGGCTACTGTATAAGAAAGCTTGCAAAGTATTTTTATTTTGGTAAGGAACTTAGTTAATTTTACCTGTTTTGCTTCTTCCTCCAGCCATGGCCCAACATGAGAAAGCATCAACAGCAGAGAACAAGCACTCATGCTGCTTGTGTCAGCAAACTGAAAATTATTCAATAGAAAAAGAAAAAATATTCAGGTGTAATAATCCAGCTGTCTAAATTAGAAAAGAAAAAGAGAAAAGACGAGAGAGAAAAAAGAGAAAAGAGAAAAGACGAGAGAGAGAAAAGAGAAAAGACGAGAGAGAGAAAAGAGAAAAGACGAGAGAGAGAAAAGAGAAAAGACGAGAGAGAGAAAAGAGAAAAGAGAGAAAAGACGAGAGAGAAAAAGAGAAAAGAGAAAAAGACGAAAGAGAAAAAAAAGAGAAAAAAGAGAAAAGACGAGAGAGAAAAAGAGAAAAAGAGAGAAAAGACGAGAGAAAAAAGAGAAAAGAGAGAAAAGACGAGAGAGAAAAAAAGAAAGAGAGAAAAGAGAAAGAGAGAAAAAGAGAAAAGAGAGAAAGACGAAAGAGAAAAAGAGAAAAGAGAAGAAAAGACGAGAGAGAAAAAGAGAAAGAGAGAAAAGACGAGAGAGAAAAAAGAGAAAAGAGAGAAAAGACGAGAGAGAAAAAAGAGAAAAGAGAGAAAAGACGAGAGAGAAAAAAGAGAAAAGAGAGAAAAGACGAGAGAGAAAAAAGAGAAAAGAGAGAAAAGACGAGAGAGAAAAGACGAGAGAAAAAAAGAGAAAAGAGAGAAAAGACGAGAGAAAAAAAAAGAGAAAAGAGAAAGACGAAAAGAAGAGAGAGAGAAAAGAGAGAAGAAAGAGAAAAGAGAGAAGAGAGAGAGAAAAGAGAAAGAGAAAAAAAAAAAAGAGAAAAGAGAAAAGAGAAAAGAGAAAAGAGAAAAGAGAAAGAGAAAAAGAAAAGAGAAAAGAGAAAAGAGAAAAGAGAAAAGAGAAAAGAGAAAAGAGAAGAGAAAAGAAAAAAAAGAAAAAAAGAAAAGAAAAGAAAAGAAAAAGAAAAAAAAAAAGAAAAGAAGAAGACAAAAAGACAAAGACCCCCCCCAAAAAAAAAAAAGATAATTATTTATACTGTTTACATGCAAACTACTATCCTCATTATTGTCATGTTTCAGCCATTGTGTCCCCAGGTGTTTGATGATCTGGGTACCGTTCAGAAAATTCCAAACCTTTTATTTAATCTACATAGATTAATTTTGTTCCACTGATCATGTCTAGGTAGACCTCACTTAGACCTTATTTTAGTATTGCTTAGTTATTTCTTGCTCTGTTGCCACCAACTCCAGATACACACAGCCTGCACATCCCAGGGATTGAACTTGCAATTACTATTTCAACAAATTTATCAACTAATGCTCGAATCCATTTGGCTATTGTCTTGTGGGACAACCGAAAAAAGCCAATCGCCTACATGTAAATAAGAAAAAAAAACTTAAAAACATACAAAATAAAAATCTTTATATTGTTAGGATCCAATGAGTTTTCTTTATTTATAGTATCCAAGATGGAAAACAGATGGCAGAAAGGAAAAGACATTTTGAACAAAAAGCAAAGTTTCTTCTTTACACTGATTATTTCAAGTTGTCAACCAAGAGAAGGCATTGTCAGTCAGATCACTTATCCCCAGATATAGGCGAGCTGAAAGAAACACTTCACAGAATACTCATCTTGCTTGGTGGTCAGTTCTCAATGGTTTCCTTGTGACAGTTTAACTGCTCTTCTTTACCACACCTGCTCACCTGAGTCTCTTTCAAAATTCTGGTACAATTATTTGGGAAATTCAAATGTGTTATGTTCAGATTAATATTTAATCTATATTAGCTTCTAAAGATTTTTTTTTTTGGTCAGGTAGAATTTTTAATATTATTCTAAGATACAGTCTTGCTCATAAATTTAGATGCTATGATTCTTTAGTAAAATAGGGAAAAAGGGAAAAAGAAAAAAAAAAAAAAAAAAAGGAAAAATTCAGAATGATAAATACCGTTTTGTGTTGGTGCCACACATCAGAAATAAATGATGGGAATCGAATTATAATGCACAATGCCAACCATTCAAGCATGTTTCGAACAGATGGCTGGCATTCAACCATCAGGGTATCCCAGATATACTGCCAAACTCGTTTACGATTGGACTGAAAACAAAGAAAGTACAGAAAGAATTCGACATTTAAACTAATTTCAAAGATATTTGCAGACATTTCTAAAACTATTTTTTGTTTATACACATTAGGGGGAAAGTCTGAATGAAGTTTCATGGTCTTCTTTAAAATTATCATTATTAGAAGACAGAAAAAAAAAAAAGACAGAAAAAAAAAAAGAAAAAAAAGACAGAAAAAAAAAAAGACAGAAAAAAAAAGAAAGAAAAAAAAAAGACAGAAAAAAAAAAGACAGAAAAAAAAAAAAGAAAAAAAAAAAAAAACAGAAAAAAAAAAAAAGACAGAAAAAAAAAAAAAGACGACAAAAAAAAAGACAGAAAAAAAAAGAAAAAAAAAAAAAAAAAAAACTCTCTGCTTGATTCAGAAAAAAAAAAAAAAGACAGAAAAAAAAAAAAAAACAGAAAAAAAAACAGAAAAAAAAAAAAAGAAAAAAAAAAAAAGACAGTTCTGCAAAAAAAAGACAGAAAAAAAAAAACCAGAAAAAAAAAAAAGACAGAAAAAAAAAAAACAGAAAAAAAAAAAACAAAAGACAGAAAAAAAAAGATATTATATTGGTTGGTGGGACTGGACTTGTTAAAAATTGCAAATATCTCACCTCATTGATGAACTTTTGCAGCAAAACAAGAGCCTGCATGACTCTCTGCTTGATTCGATGATGAAAAGAATTAGCAAAGCTTCGATATGATCTTGTCTGGTTCACTTCTTGGTGTTTCTCTATCAGTTCAAAGATAAAATCCTCCGCAAGCCTTTCATGTTCTGCATTTTCCGTTTGCAGGCAGCACAACCAGTTGAGAACAAGGATTCTGACTTGCAGGTCACTCTTTGATATGCTGCAACAAAAGTTAAAATGAAAAGTACAGTTGAAGTTCATGTTGTGAGTGGAACAATTATGTCTATAGATAAACTTTACCAACCCAATGTGGTAAAATAAGTAAAAATAAGGAAAATTTAAGGAAAATTTAAAAAAAAATAAAAAAATAAAAAAGGACCCATACAGATATCCATATTCTTACACAAAATGGGACTCACTTATGTGTAAATATACAATGGGGGCCATCTTCAGGTTTAAAATGGAGTTTTAAAAATGGAAAAATTTTTCAATTTTAAGTTTGTGTTTTGCTTCTCATTTCTACCAAAATGGTGTGCATTTAAGGATTGGGAAAATGAACTTGATGCACATTCACAACAGACATGTTTCGAAAATAAAATATATTTTTCAAAAAATTTGCAGAAAATTAACTGATTTTAAGTTTAATTAATCTTGCTTAACTGATTAAAAACAAATATTTTCAGTTCAAATTATCAGAGAAAAGCATTTTAACACAAGTGGGAGTTTTTATGAATGGTTGACATGATAGACTTGTGTGGAATTTTTTCTCTACAGGAGACATCTGTAAAAATTACTTGAACATAACATGAGCACCTTTTTTATATTTTTTTTTTTTAACTAATCAGTAATCTTAAAAATTTAGGAAAATATAAATGTACTTTGGCTTTAAATTTACTATGGTTACTGATCTTTTTTTCTAATAATTTTGAGTATGGACATCTGTATTTACAAAAATACCAATGTTCATACAGACACACAAAAACATACAACATATCAACCTCAATGGGTTATTTAATGCTGACAATTTTTATGGCAGGAAATATTTTTCCTTAAAAGAAATCTAGAGCTGGAAATATTTTTCCTTAAAAGAAATCTAGAGCTGGAAATATTTTTCCTTAAAAGAAATCTAGAGCTGGAAATATTTTTCCTTAAAAGAAATCTAGAGCTGGAAATATTTTTCCTTAAAAAGAAATCTAGAGCTGGAAATATTTTTCCCAAAAGAAATCTAGAGCTGGAAATATTTTTCCTTAAAAGAAATCTAGAGCTGGAAATATTTTTTCCTTAAAAAGAAATCTAGAGCTGGAAATATTTTTCCTTAAAAGAAATCTAGAGCTGGAAATATTTTTCCTTAAAAGAAATCTAGAGCTGGAAATATTTTTCCTTAAAAGAAATCTAGAGCTGGAAATATTTTTCCTTAAAAGAAATCTAGAGCTGGAAATATTTTTCCTTAAAAGAAATCTAGAGCTGGAAATATTTTTCCTTAAAAGAAATCTAGAGCTGGAAATATTTTTCCATAAAAAGAAATCTAGAGCTGGAAATATTTTTCCTTAAAAGAAATCTAGAGCTGGAAATATTTTTCCTTAAAAGAAATCTAGAGCTGGAAATATTTTTCTTCAAAGAATGTATAGCTATTTGTATTGCTAGTACTTTTTTTTTTTTTAAGTATTCCTGAATTTTTCCTTCAAAAATTATTGCTGGTATTTTTTTTTTTTATTAAAAAGTATTTCTGGTATTAAAACCTATTTTTACACAAGTTTGGGTGACAACTATTTGCCCATGGCTGGGACCCTAACAGGTGCTACCACCTCGGGTCAGTGTGGACCTGGGAACACCTGCAATTAAGAGGTGGTTCCATGCTCCTCAAAACCTCTTGATCAGAGGTCTTGCTGTTGAACGTAGTTTATTGTCTTAAAATACTGGAGGGGATGATTAGTAAACATCGTTTTTACTTAATAACAATATCACCTAACTACTACAAATTAATACAGAATTTTAAGATTAAAACTTTATAAATTATTCTAATTAAATTTTAAAAAAAAAATAAAAACAATTTTTGCAAGAATTCATTATTCATTGGTGGGAAAAAAAAAAAGATTTTCTTAAGACAATAGTGTTCATAATATATATCTTGCTCATAAAAGCAATTAAAAGCTTTTCCAATTAAATAATGTCTTATTTTATAATATTTTTTAATTTTCCGATATAGAGTAAATTTTCAGTAACTGGGGTTACCGTTTTAAAAAAAAAAAAAAAAAAAGGTCAGCGGAGGGAGGGAATTAAATGTAGAAAAAAAAAAAG